ATATTTTAGATATAGGAAAGTACTGGTTTGGTAATAGAGTTGTGGATGAGTGGAACAAGCTCCCGAGTACAGTTATAGAGGCTAAAACCTTGTGTAGTTTTAAAAATAGGTTGGATAAATACATGAGTTCTCCATGGGGAAGTGGAACAGAATTCTTCCTCCGTAAGCCATGCGTGTTGTAAGAGGCGACTAAAATGCCGGGAGCAAGGGTCTAGTAACCCCTTCTCCTGTATATATTACTAAATTTGAAAGGAGAAACTTTGGTTTTTTCTTTTGGGCCACCCTGCCTCGGTGGGATATGGCCAGTGTGTTGAAAGAAAGAAGAAATACATGAGTGGGTGTGGGTGGGTGTGAGTTGGACCTGACTAGCTTGTGCTGCTGGGTCTGGTACAGTGCTCCTTCCTTGAGTGGGGATGACCAGACTGGGTGGGTCATTGGTCTAATCCGGGGGGGGGGGGATGGACCTGCTCCGTATGGGTCAGTAGGCCTGTTGCAGTGTTCCTTCTTTCTTATGTTCTTATGTAAGTTTGATATTGGCCTATAGTTATTTATTGTACTGGTGTGACACTTGCTGAGTAGTGCCGGAAAAGTGTTGGTTTCTAGTGATTTGTTAAACAATAATGTAATGGCGGGTGAGAGAACACGAGCCGCTCGTTTGTATAATAATGGATTTCCTGATTTACTTTTAAGTAACTTGATAATGGTGGTGACTTGTGTGGGCACGGTAGGTGCAAGATAGGAGGAGGTTGGGAAATTCCCATCTAAGTAATCACTTGCTTGGGCGTTGGTACCTGGGATTTTACTGGCAAGATTAGATCCTATGGTTGAGAAGAATTCATTTATCTTGTTAACTGTGTCAATAGGCTGCAGTTGTGGTTCATTTGGTTTAGTTAGGACAATATCACTAGTTTTGTCAAGTGTGTGATACCCAGAATCTGAGAAAGTGTCTTCCAGGTCTTTTTTATATCTCCTCTTTGTTTCAGTAACTATTAGAGTAGTACAGTTGCTTAGCCTTTGTTATTAGTTTGGTGAGGATTGATGTCTAGTGTTTAATAATATCTTTGTTTATTAAGCTCTCTCTATATTGTTTTTCATGTTGATGTTTCTTATCAATGGATTTTAGTATGCTGTTAGTTAGCCATGGGCAACCTAGCCGTTTATTCATAATCTGTTTCATTTTAACGGGACAATGTTTGTTAGGTAGTCTAAGTAATTTGTTAAGAAATGCAGTGGAACCTCAAATATCGAACTTTTTTCGGTCCAGAAGGCTGTTCGAGTGCCTTTACCGAATGAATTTATTCCCATCAGGAATAATATAAATTAGATTAGTCCATTTCAGACCCCCAAAAATACACTTATAAAAGCACTTATAAAAATACACTTACATAATTGGTTGTGTTGGGAGCAGTTCGATTTTTGAGGTTCCACTGTATGTCTATCCAGTCATCGATACCATTGACATTGGTGAATTGTGTAGTCCAGTCAACTGTATTTAGCTCTGTTGTGAAGTTACTGATGCCTCATCATGGAGTCTAAAAGACACCTTGTTATATTCCATTGGTTGTTTACTAATGTTTGTTAAGAGGAAGGTGGAGTAGTGGTCAGTAATGTTGTCTGTGATTATCCCCGCTTTAATGGGGTCGAGTATATTGGTCCATGTGTGGTTAATTATAGCCGCACTTGTCTCAGTCTTGTTATAGCTAGTATGAGTAGTGTTAATGAAGTTAGTGTCTGGCTGGTTGTCTTGTTCATTTGATTGTTATTAGTGTTTTTAATTTATCACTAAAGTTTGAGATATAATGGTACCTTGAGTTACGAACACCTCACAAGTGTATTTTTGTAAGTGCTTTTGTAAGTGTATTTTTATAAGTGCTTTTGTAAGTGTATTTTTGGGGGTCTGAAATGGACTAATCTAATTTACATTATTCCTTATGGGAACAAATTCATTCAGCAACAGCACTAACAGCCTTCTGGAATGAATTAAGTTCATAACTGGAGGTAGCACTATACAGTGGACCCCCGCATAACGATTACCTCCAAATGCGACCAATTATGTAAGTGTATTTATGTAAGTGAGTTTGTACGTGTATGTTTGGGGGTCTGAAATGGACTAATCTACTTCACAATATTCCTTATGGGAACAAATTCGGTCAGTACTGGCACCTGAACATACTTCTGGAGTGAAAAAATATCGTTAACCGGGGGTCCACTGTATTAGTATGAGGCATCTGGTATATGGCACCAATTGTTATAGGAGTCTTAAGGTTTTTTTTATAGCAAAATTAGCAAAAATATATTCTCCATTATCATCAGTATAACAATTGATGTTACAACCTGATAGTTCATTAGAGTAATAGATGGCAATACCTGCCTCAGTGTGTGTCCTGGTAGTGGGTAGATATCTTGTGTCCTGGTAGTGGGTAGATATCTTGTGTCCTGGTAGTGGGTAGATATCTTGTGTCCTGGTAGTGGGTAGATATCTTGTGTCCTGGTAGTGGGTAGATATCTCAGTAGTAGTAACCAGTTACCAGTAACCAGTGTATCAGTAGATGACTCGCTACCAACCGTCTCTGCCTGAGTCACTGTCTGTATTCATATTGTGCTGACCACAGCAGTATTCAAAGACCCCCTCACATATGGGTACTGTGGGCGGCCAGTCAGTTATACGAGAGTGAGCAAGGTGGCAGGCCGGCTGTTTGGGCGCTCCCCACATTATCCGTAATTTTACGTACTACCAGCCTACGTGAGTATTACTTTACCCTATCCACGTGTTCGAACTCCCACATGATAGATATCTTGTGTCCTGGTAGTGGGTAGATATCTTGTGTCCTGGTAGTGGGTAGATATCTTGTGTCTTGGTAGTGGGTAGAAATCTTGTGTCCTGTAGTGGGGTTTGAAAATCTTGTGTCCTGGTAGTGGGTAGATATCTTGTGTCCTGGTAGTGGGTAGATATCTTGTGTCCTGGTAGTGGGTAGATATCTTGTGTCCTGGTAGTGGGTAGATATCTTGTGTCCTGGTAGTGGGTAGATATCTTGTGTCCTGGTAGTGGGTAGATATCTTGTGTCCTGGTAGTGGGTAGATATCTTGTGTCCTGGTAGTGGGTAGATATCTTGTGTCCTGGTAGTGGGTAGATATCTTGTGTCTTGGTAGTGGGTAGATATCTTGTGTCCTGGTAGTGGGTAGATATCTTGTGTCCTGGTAGTGGGTAGATATCTTGTGTCTGGTAGTGGGTAGATATCTTGTGTCTTGGTAGTGGGTAGATATCTTGTGTCCCTTGGTAGTGGGTAGATATCTTGTGTCCTGGTAGTGGTAGATTCTTGTGTCTTGGGAGTGGGTTTAAAATCTTGTGTCCTGGTAGTGGGTAGATATCCTTGTGTCCTGGTAGTGGGTAGATATCTTGTGTCCTGGGAGTGGGGGAGAATTTTGTGTGTCCTGGGAGTGGGTAGATATCTTGTGTCCTGGTATGGGTAGATATCTTGTGTCTTGGTAGTGGGTAGATATCTTGTGTCTTGGTAGTGGGTAGATTTTCTTTGTCTGGTAGTGGGTAGATATCTTGTGTCCTGGGAGTGGGTAGATATCTTGTGTCCTGGTAGTGGGTAGATATCTTGTGTCCTGGTAGTGGGTAGATATCTTGTGTCCTGGTAGTGGGTAGATATCTTGTGTCCTGGTAGTGGGTAGATATCTTGTGTCCTGGTAGTGGGTAGATATCTTGTGTCCTGGTTTGTGGTAGATATCTTGTGTCCTGGTAGTGGGTAGATATCTTGTGGTCCTGGTAGTGGGTAGAATCTTGTGTCCTGGGGAGTGGGTTTGATATCTTGTGTCCTGGTAGTGGTAGATATCTTGGGGTCCTGGTAGTGGGTAGATATCTTGTGTCCTGGTAGTGGGTAGATATCTTGTGTCCTGGTAGTGGGTAGATATCTTGTGTCCTGTTTAAGCCAGGTCACACTGACAATAATACCGCAGAAGGTTGCTTTTAATGAATCAACAAGTGCCAGGAGGTCATCATAGGAGTGCCAGGAGGTCATCATAGGAGTGCCAGGAGGTCATCATAGGAGTGCCAGGAGGTCATCATAGGAGTGCCAGGAGGTTATAGGAGTGCCAGGAGGTCATCATAGGAGTGCCAGGAGGTCATCATAGGAGTGCCAGGAGGTCATCATAGGAGTGCCAGGAGGTCATCATAGGAGTGCCAGGAGGTCATCATAGGAGTGCCAGGTCATCATAGGAGTGCCAGGAGGTCATAATAGGAGTGCCAGGAGGTCATAGGAGTGCCAGGTCATCATAGGAGTGCCAGGAGGTCATAGGAGTGCCAGGAGGGCATCATAGGGGTGGGCCCGGAGGTCATCATAGGAGTGCCAGGAGGTCATCATAGGAGTGCCAGGAGGTCATCATAGGAGTGCCAGGAGGTCATCATAGGAGTGCCAGGAGGTCATCATAGGAGTGCCAGGAGGTCATAGGAGTGCCAGGAGGTCATCATAGGAGTGCCAGGTCATCATAGGAGTGCCAGGAGGTTATAGGAGTGCCAAGAGGTCATCATAGGAGTGCCAGGAGGTCATCATAGGAGTGCCAGGTCATCATAGGAGTGCCAGGAGGTCATAGGAGTGCCAGGAGGTCATCATAGGAGTGCCAGGAGGTCATCATAGGAGTGCCAGGAGGTCATCATAGGAGTGCCAGGAGGTCATCATAGGAGTGCCAGGAGGTCATCATAGGAGTGCCAGGAGGTCATCATAGGAGTGCCAGGAGGTCATCATAGGAGTGCCAGGTCATCATAGTGTTTACTTAGTGATATAATATTAGTGGTCTGGGTACTGTGTAAATATTGATTTACATAAGCCTGTGTAAATATTGATTTACATAACCTGTGTAAATATTGATTTACATAAGCCTGTGTAAATATTGATTTACATAAGCCTGTGTAAATATTGATTTACATAGCCTGTGTAAATATTGATTTACATAAGCCTGTGTAAATGTAAATTATCTTCTTATAATAATAATTACAGTAAGAGTGGTCAGTGTGGTGGGTCGAGACAGGGCGCAGGAGCTGTACAAGGAGACACAGGAACTCGAACGAAATGGTGGACTACTGGTACTGGTGAGTAGACTATCTTGTACTATTACTAAGATTCTGCTTCTGTTACTACTACCATTGCTATTACTACTACTATTACTACTACCATTGCTATTACTACTACTATTACTACTACCATTGCTATTACTACTACTACTATTACTACTACCATTGCTATTACTACTACTACTACTACCATTGCTATTACTACTACTATTACTACTACCATTGCTATTACTACTACTACTATTACTACTACTACTACCATTGCTATTACTACTACTATTACTACTACCATTGCTATTACTACTACTACTATTACTACTACCATTGCTATTACTACTACTACTACTATTACTACTACCATTGCTATTACTACTACTACTATTACTACTACCATTGCTATTACTACTACTATTACTACTACCATTGCTATTACTACTACTATTACTAACTACCTTGCTATTTCTACTACTAATTTTCTATACCATTGGGTATTACTAACTACTACTTTTTATTTCATACCATTTCTATTACTACTACTACTATTCTACTACCATTGCTATTACTACTATTACTACTACCTTTGCTATTACTACTACACTACTATTAACCCATCCATTTTCTATTACTAAATACTACTATTACTACTACCATTGCTATTACTACTACTATTACTACTACCATTGCTATTACTACTACTACTACTATTACTACTACTACTACTATTACTACTACTCTAATTACTAACTACCTTTGGGTTTTACTACTACCCATTACTACTACCATTGCTATTACGACTACTATTACTACTACCATTGCTATTACTACTACTACTATTACTACTACCATTGCTATTACTACTACTACTACTATTACTACTACCATTGCTATTACTACTACTACTATATACTACTACCATTTTCTATATACTACTACTAACTAAAATTTCTACTCCATTGCTATTACTACACTATTACACTACCATTGCTATTACTACTACTACTATACTACTACACTATTAACTACTACTACTATTACTACTACTATTGTCAGCATAGTTGCTGATCCCGTTATATGTGTTGTATAGCATATAGTACCATCCATGTGTTTACATAGAAGATCCCTAGGCCGAGTGACCGTATGACGTCACGGGGTACAGCTTGAGTGTGAGGCGAGCTACCTCGGCCTCAGTCAGCACGTAGACATCCAGGCCAGAACACGAAAAGGTGACGTCACGGGGTACAGCTTGAGTGTGAGGCGAGCTACCTCGGCCTCATTCAGCACGTAGACATCCAGGGCAGAACACGGCAAGGCTGGCCTACATCTCCCATTACCACAGTCTGACAATATACTGTTACCATCCAACAAGTGTGTCTATCTTCAACCCTCGATATCTCCTTTTAAGAACCCCTACGACACTATTACTACTATTACTAGTACTATTACTACTATTACTACTACTACTACTACTATTACTACTACTACTACTACTACTATTACTACTACTACTATTACTACTACTATTACTACTACTATTACTACTACTATTACTACTACTACTATACTACTAGTGCTACTACTACTACTTTTTATATTATCTATTAAATACTACTATTACTATTACTGCTACTATACTACTATTACTATTACTACTATTACTACTACTATTACTATTACTACTACTATTACTACTATTAGTACTACTATTACTACATCTATTTTCTATTACTATACTAAATATTACTATACCCACTACTATTACACTATACTACTTTATAAATTTTTACTACTACTATTACTATTACTATACTAACTACTACTATACATTACACTATTACTATATACTATACCATATACCTATTACTATGCCTACATACTACTACTATATATATATTTCTATTAACTACTATTACTATTTCACTAATTACTACTATTACTATTAATACTAATTATACTACTACTATTACTTCTATTATTCTAATACATACTACATACTATTACTACTATTACCCATTACTACTACTTTTAAAACTTTACTACTACATTACTAACTACTATTACAATAATACTACTATTACTACTATTACTATTTCTATATTACTACTATTAATTACTACTCACTTTAACTTTTACTATTATACTATATATTTCTATACAATTTCTACTATACTACTATTCTACACTATTACTACTACTATTTATTTCTACTATTACTACAATTACTATTTACTATACTACTATTAACTATTACTACTATTTCACTATAACTACATTACTACTACTATTACTCACTATTACTACTTTACTACTACTTTACTATTTACTATATTTATACTATTACTACTATATACTACTTTCTATACTATTACTACTATTACTACAATTTCTACACTGTACTATTACTACTATTTTCTAACTATTACTATACTATTACACTACTAAATTTCTACTACTATACATACTATTACTACTACTATTACTACTACTTACTACTATTACTGCTACTATTACTATTTCTACTATTATACTATTACTAAAATATTACTACAGTACTATCTACTATTACACTATTTTACTATTACTACTACTGTACTATTTCTACTTTCTATTACTACTACTATTACTATGATTACTATTACTACTAATTACTATTTCTATTTACTCTTACTACTATTACTACTACTATTACTACTTATACTATTTCTGCCACTTTTACTATTACTACTACTATTTCTACTTTCTACTATTACTCTACTATTATAAATACATTTACACTACTATTACTATACTACTACCATTATACTATACTACTATACGTACTCTATTACTCTACTTTACCTATTTCTACTATAACTATTTACTAGACCCAAATTTCTATTACTACTATACACTTATCTACTACTTTCTATTACTACTATTTTTATACCCACCTACTACATTACTATTACTGTTACTACTTACTACTACTACTACCCTTACTATTTCTAACTGTTACTACTTCTACTACTACTATAACGTTACTACTATCTACTACTAATTACTACTACCATTATTACTATTACTCTAGTTATACTCTACTATACTATCTATTCTACAAATGTTCTACTGTTACTACTATTACTACTGTTATTAATACTGTACAGTTACACTACTTACTCCATTACATTTTCACTACTGTTTAGCTACTATACTACTACTACCATTTTCTATTACTACAACTGTATTACTTCTTAAATTTCTTTCGCTCATTACTTTAAATATACCCTACTGCTACTACATTTCTTCTATTACTACTACCCTTTTTACTATGCTTCACCCTTTCTACTATGACTACTAACTTTGCTACTATTTTTACACTACTTTTCTATTAATTACTCCCTTTGCTACTGGCATTCTACACTGTTGCTACTACTATTACCTCAGGGGTCATGTCTAAGTGTTGTGGTCACTTCTGTACCAAGACGTTACTCACTATTACATCAGGGGCTGTCTAAAAGGTGTTGTGTCACTTTCCCGTACCAAGCTTTTACTCACTATTTACTAGGGTCCATTCTAAGGTGTATTGGTACTTTCTACCCAAATTACTTCCTATAACAGGGTATGTCTGAGTATTGTTCACTTTCTTATCAAAACTTTTACTCCTAGTTTACATCATCATTCTAAGTGTTTTCACTTTCTACAAGACTTACTCACTTTCATCAGGGGCATTCTAATTGGACTTTCTTACAAGCGTTGACTACTAGTTACCGGGGTTTCTTAGAGGTTTGGTCATTTCTGACCACGTTGCTCACTAGTTACATCGGGGTCATGTCTAGAGGTGTTGTGGTTCAAATTTGACCAAACGTTGACTCACTAGTTACATCAGGGGTCATGTCTAGAGGTGTTGTGGTCACTTTCTGTACCAAGACGTTGACTCACTAGTTACATCAGGGGTCATGTCTAGAGGTGTTGTGGTCACTTTCTGTACCAAGACGTTGACTCACTAGTTACATCAGGGGTCATGTCTAGAGTGTTGTGGTCACTTTCTGTACCAAGACGTTTGACTCAGCTCTGGGCGTTTTTCTACTCAGATGGCATTTTTAATTTTTGGGTTATTTTACAGAGACTTATCCAACCCAGTTAAATTTTATGAGTCTTTGGCAATTCTTATAAAAACTTAGTGTATGATACAATGTTCTTCTCTCTCTTGTAGTGTAATACATAAACATAAACTTAATACAGAAAACACTCGACTTACGACTTGTAAATGTTTCTGTACAATGCTTATACTTAATCATATGAATCTTATCCAGTAACATACAGTGGACCCTCGGTTATTGGCCGTAATCCGTTCCAGAAGCTCGGCCTAAAACCAAAATGGCTGAAAACCAAAATAATATTTACCATAAGAGTTAATGTAAATACAATTAATCCATTGTTGTCACTTGTTGTGACGCTCGTGTTGGCGCTCGCTGTGATGCTCGTGTTGTCACTTGCTGTGACACTTCCTGTGACGCTCGTGTTGGCGCTCGCTGTGATGCTTGTGTTGTCACTTGCTGTGACACTTCCTGTGACGCTCGTGTTGGCGCTCCGCTGTGATGCTTTTTGTTGTCCCCTTGCTGTGACACTTCCTGTGACGCTCGTGTTGGTGCTCGCTGTGATGCTTGTGTTGTCACTTGCTGTGACACTTCCTGTGATGCTCGTGTTGGCGCTTGCTGTGATGCTTGTGTTGTCACTTGCTGTGACACTTCCTGTGACGCTCGTGTTGGCGCTCGCTGTGATGCTTGTGTTGTCACTTGCTGTGACACTTCTGTGACGGTTTGTGTTGGCGCTCGCTGTGATGCCCTTTTGTTGTCACTTGCTGTGACACTTCCTGTGACGCTCGTGTTGGCGCTCGCTGTGATGCTTGTGTTGTCACTTGCTGTGACACTTCCTGTGACGCTCGTGTTGGCGCTCGCTGTGATGCTTGTGTTGTCACTTGCTGTGACACTTCCTGTGGTGCATGCTGTGACACTTCCTGTGGCGCATGCTGTGACACTGGCTTTGATGCCGGCTGTGATGCTGGCTGTGACACTGGCTGTGACACACTCCGTGATGCTGGCTGTGACGCTGGCCATGATGCACGCTGTGATGTTGGCTGTGACGCTGGCTGTGAAGCTGGTTGTGATGCTGGCTGTGACACTGGTTGTGATGCACTCCGTGATGCTTACTCTGACGCTGGCTGTGTTACTGGCTGTGGTGCTGGCTATGACGCTGGCTGTGACTCACACTGTGATGCTGGCTGTGATGCTGGCTGTGACGCTGGCTGTGATGCTGGCTGTCACGCTGGTTGTGATGCTGGCTGTGATGCACGCTGTGATGCTGGTTGTGACGCCAGCTGTGATGCTGGCTGTAACACTGGCTGTGACACACTCCGTGAAGCTGGCTGTGACGCTGGCTGTGATACTGGCTGTGACGCTGACTGTGACGCTGGCTGTGACGCATGCCGTGACGCTGGCTGTGATGCTGGCTGTGACGCTGGCTGTGATGCTGACTGTGACGCTGGCTGTGATGCTGGCTGTGACGCTGACTGTGAGGCTGGCTGTGACGCTGACTGTGAGGCTGGCTGTGACGCTGGCTGTGATGCTGGCTGTGACACTGACTGTGATGCTGGCTGTGACACTGACTGTGACGCTGGCTGTGATGCTGGCTGTGACACTGACTGTGACGCTGGCTGTGATGCTGGCTGTGACACTGACTGTGATGCTGGCTGTGACTCACACTGTGATGCTGGCTGAGATGCTGGCTGTGACGCATGCCGTGACGCTGGCTGTGATGCTGGCTGTGACGCTGGCTGTGATGCTGGCTGTGACACTGACTGTGACGCTGGCTGTGATGCTGGCTGTTTACACTGACTGTGACGCTGGCTGTGACTCACACTGTGATGCTGGCTGAGATGCTGGCTGTGACACTGGCTGTGACGCTGGCTGTGATGCTGGCTGTGATGCTGGCTGTGATGCTGGCTGTAACACTGGCTGTGACACACTCCGTGATGCTGGCTGTGACACTGGCTGTGATGCTGGCTGTGACGCTGGCTGTGACGCTGGCTGTGACGCTGGTTGTGACGCTGGCTGTGACGCTGGCTGTGACGCTGACTGTGACGCTGGCTGTGACGCTGGTTTTTGACGCGGGGTGTGACGCTGGCTGTGCGCTGGCTGTGACGCTGGCTGTGACGCTGGCTGTGACGCTGGCTGGACGCTGGCTGTGACGCTGGCTGTGACGCTGGCTGTGACGCTGGCTGTGACGCTGGCTGTGACGCTGGCTGTGACGCTGGCTGTGACGCTGGCTGTGACGCTGGCTGTGACGCTGGCTGTGACACTGGCTGTGATGCTGGCTGTGACGCTGTGATTCTCTACAAAATGTTTTTCTCAAATTCCTTGTTGGTCAAGTAATGCACCTGACTACCTGGGTTCCTGGGTTCCTGGGTTCCTGGGTTCCTGGGTTCTTGGGTTCCTGGGTTCCTGGGTTCCTGGGTTCTTGGGTTCCTGGGTTCCTGGGGTTCCTGGGTTCTTGGGTTTCTGGGGTTTCCCGGGTTCCTGGTTCTTGGGTTCCTGGGGTTTCCCGGGTTTTTTGGGTTCCTGGGGTTTTTGGTTCCTGGGTTCCTGGGTTCTTGGGTTCCGGGTCTTGGGTTCCTGGGTTCCTGGGTTTCCTGGGTTCTTGGGTTTTCCCGGGTTCCTGGGTTCCTGGGTTCTTGGGTTCCTGGGTTTCCTGGGTTCTTGGGTTTCCCGGGTTCCTGGGTTCCTGGGGGTTTTTGGGTTCCTGGGTTCCTGGGTTCTTGGGTTCCTGGGTTCCTGGGTTCTTGGGTTCCTGGGTTCCTGGGTTCTTGGGTTCCTGGGTTCCTGGGTTCTTGGTTCCTGGGTTTCTTGGGTTCCTGGGGTCCTGGGTTCTTGGGTTCCTGGGTTCCTGGGTTCCCGGGGTTTTTGGGTTCCCGGGTAACCTGGGTTCCTGGGTTCCTGGTTCTTGGGTTCCTGGGTTCCTGGGTTCTTGGGTTCCTGGTTCTTGGGTTCCTGGGTTCCTGGGTTCTTGGGTTCTTGGGTTCCTGGGTTCTTGGGTTCCTGGTTCCTGGGTTCCTGGTTCCTGGGTTCTTGGGTTTCCTGGGTTCTTGGGGTTTTTTGGGTTTTCCCGGGTTCTTGGGGTTTCCTGGGTTCCTGGGTTCTTGGGTTCCTGGGTTCCTGGGTTCCCCGGGTTCTTGGGTTCCGGTGTTCCTGGGTTCCTGGGTTTTTTGGGGTCCTGGGTTCCTGGGTTCCTGGGTTCTTGGGTTCCTGGGTTCTTGGGGTTCCTGGGTTCCTGGGTTCCTGGGTTCTTGGGTTTTCCCGGGTTCCTGGGTTCCTGGGTTCTTTGGGGTTCTGGGGTTTTTGGGTTCCTGGGTTCCTGGGTTCCTGGGTTCCTGGGTTCTTGGGTTCCTGGGTTCCTGGGTTCTTGGGTTCCTGGGTTCCTGGGTTCTTGGGTTCCTGGGTTCCTGGGTTCTTGGGTTCCTGGGTTCCTGGGTTCTTGGGTTCCTGGGTTCCTGGGTTCTTGGGTTCCTGGGTTCCTGGGTTCCTGGGTTCCACTGTATTACTGTTAAATTACTATTTTTGCCATTACTGTTTCTACCATTATTATTACCATTACTACCATCACTATTACTACCATTATTATCAGTAGAAGAATAATTCACTTGTAGCTGAGTACAGTGGACCCCCGGTTAACGATATTTTTTCACTCCAGAAGTATGTTCAGGTGCCGTACTGACCGAATTTGTTCCCATAAGGAATATTGTGAAGTAGATTAGTCCATTTCAGACCCCCAAACATACACGTACAAACGCACTTACATAAATACACTTACATAATTGGTCACATTCGGAGGTAATCGTTATGCGGGGGTCCACTGTACTCTGTACATCAAATATCACTATGAGGCCTGGTCTCAGACTGGGCGAGGCCTGGTCTCAGACCGGGCGAGGCCTGGTCTCAGACCCGTAACTCTCTCCAGGTAAACTCCAGGTAAACTAATAATAATTGTTCATTTGTTCACTGTACATACAGAATATTGTTCATTATAAGCACAATATTGTTCATTTGTTCACTGTACATACAGAATATTGTTCATTATAAGCACAATATTGTTCATTTGTTCACTGTACATACAGAATATTGTTCATTATAAGCACAATATTGTTCATTTGTTCATTATAAACTATTGTTCATTTGTTCATTATAAGCACAATATTGTTCATTTGTTCATTATAAACTATTGTTCATTTGTTCATTATAACCACAATATTGTTCATTTGTTCACTGTACATACAGAATATTGTTCATTATAAGCACAATATTGTTCATCTGTTTATTATAAATACAGTATTGTTCATTTGTTCATTATAAACACACATTATTATTCACTATAATCATGTTCACTATACATTGTTCATTTGTTCATTATAAACACAGATTATTATTCACTATAATCATGTTCACTATACATTGTTCATTTGTTCACTGTAAAACTATTAAAACATGAACATTGTCTAAACCTTTGGTACCCTGTGTTGGGCTCTTGCTCCTGGTCCAGGACGGGTCACGACGTCGGACATCGGGTGGAGTGTACCTGCAGCTTGTCAAGTCACTGCCGAGCCTTGGCAAGGCGGAGCTCCAGCGCATCTTCCCGCAGGAGGAGTCACGCTCCTCGCAGCAGTGGCGCAAGCGTAAGAGAGCCCACCGTCGCCGCGAGCGTCATGAGTCCAAGCCCCAGGGTAAGTGGCCCTCGCCAGTCCTGGGTTCCTTGTCATCAGTCTGGGGGATCCATCATGCTTCTTTGTTATACCTGGTGTTCCTTGTTAAACCTGGTGTTCCTTGTTATACCTGGTGTTCCTTGTTATACCTGGTGTTCATTGTTATACCTGGGCTTCCTTGTCATACCTGGTGTTCCTTGTTATACCTGGTGTTATTGTTATACCTGGGCTTCCTTGTCATACCTGGTGTTCCTTGTTATACCTGGTGTTCCTTGTCATACCTGGTGTTCCTTGTTATACCTGGTGTTCATTGTTATACCTGGGCTTCCTTGTCATACCTGGTGTTCCTTGTTATACCTGGTGTTCCTTGTCATACCTGGTGTTCCTTGTTATACCTGGTGTTCCTTGTTATACCTGGTGTTCCTTGTCATACCTGGTGTTCCTTGTTATACCTGGTGTTCAGTGTTATACCTTGGCTTCCTTGTCATACCTGGTGTTCCTTGTTATACCTGGCATTCCTTGTCATACCTGGTGTTCCTTGTTATACCTGGGCTTCCTTGTTATACCTGGTGTTCCTTGTTATACCTGGTGTTCCTCATCATACCTGGGCTTCCTTGTTATACCTGGGATCATACCTGGGCTTCCTTGTTATACCTGGTGTTCCTTGTTATACCTGGGCTTCCTTGTTACACCTGGGATCATACCTGGGCTTCCTTGTTATACCTGGTGTTCCTTGTCATACCTGGGGTTCCTTGTCATATCTGGTGTTTCTTGTCATACCTGGTGCTCCTTGTCATACCTGGGGTTCCTTGTCACACCTGGTGTTCCTTGTCATACCTGGTGTTTCTTGTTATACCTGGCATTCTTTGTCATACCTGGTGTTCCTTGTTATACCTGGGCTTCCTTGTTATACCTGGGCTTCCTTGTTATACCTGGTGTTCCTTGTTATACCTGGTGTTCCTCATCATACCTGGGCTTCCTTGTTATACCTGGGATCATACCTGGGCTTCCTTGTTATACCTGGTGTTCCTTGTTATACCTGGGCTTCCTTGTTACACCTGGGATCATACCTGGGCTTCCTTGTTATACCTGGGATCATACCTGGGCTTCCTTGTTATACCTGGTGTTCCTTGTTATACCTGGGCTTCCTTGTTACACCTGGGATCATACCTGGGCTTCCTTGTTATACCTGGTGTTCCTTGTCATACCTGGGGTTCCTTGTCATATATGGTGTTTCTTGTCATACCTGGTGCTCCTTGTCATACCTGGGGTTCCTTGTCATACCTTTTGTTCCTTGTCATACCTGGGGTTCCTTGTCATACCTGGGGTTCCTTGTCATACCTGGGGTTCCTTGTCATACCTGGGTTCCTTGTCATACCTGGGGTTCCTTGTCATACCTGGGGTTCCTTGTCATACCTGGGGTTCCTTGTCATACCTGGGGTTCCTTGTCATACCTGGGGTTCCTTGTCATACCTGGGGTTCCTTGTCACACCTGGTGTTCCTTGTCATACCTTTTGTTCCTTGTCATACCTGGGGTTCCTTGTCATACCTTTTGTTCCTTGTCATACCTGGGGTTCCTTGTCATACCTGGGGTTCCTTGTCATACCTGGGGTTCCTTGTCATACCTGATGTTCCTTGCCATACCTGGCATTCCTTGCCATACCTGGCATTCCTTGTCATACCTGGTGTTCCTTGTCATACCTGGTGTTCCATGTCATACCTGGTGTTCCTTGCCATACCTGGTGTTCCTTGTCAACCGGGTGTTCCTTGTCATCCCTGGTTTTCCTTGTCATTCCTGGTGTTCCTTGTCATACCTGGTGTTCCTTGTCATTCCTGGTGTTCCTTGTCATTCCTGGTGTTCCTTGTCATCCTGGTGTTCCTTTCATACCTGGTTTTTCCTTGTCATACCTGGTGTTCCTTGTCATACCTGGTGTTCCTTGTCATACCTGGTGTTCCTTGTCATACCTGGTGTTCCTTGTCATACCTGGTGTTCCTTGTCATACCTGGGGTACCTTGTCATACCTGGGGTACCTTGTCATACCTGGGGTACCTTGTCATACCTGGTGTTCCTTGTCATACCTGGTGTTCCTTGTCATACCTGGGGTACCTTGTCATACCTGGGGTACCTTGTCATACCTGGGGTACCTTGTCATACCTGGGGTACCTTGTCATACCTGGGGTACCTTGTCATACCTGGGGTACCTTGTCATACCTGGCACCTCTACAACACACCTGTTGTTAGTCTGCCCGGGCCAACACAAACATCAATCAGAGTGACGGCCAGTCTAATGCCGTGTCTTACCACCATATCTGTTATACTCAAGTATTGGAAGGTTGGCAACACCTCACTTGCTATATGCAGTCCTTTCACTTATAAAGTTCCACTATATGCAGTCCTTTCACTTATAAAGTTCCACTATATGCAGTCCTTTCACTTATAAAGTTCCACTATATGCAGTCCTTTCACTTATAAAGTTCCACTATATACAGTCACTTATAAAGTTCCACTGTATACAGTCAGTTCACTTATAAAGTTCCACTATATACAGTCACTTCACTTATGAAGTTCCACTGTATACAGTCAGTTCACTTATAAAGTTCCACTATATGCAGTCCTTTCACTTATAAAGTTCCACTATATACAGTCACTTCACTTATGAAGTTCCTCTATATACAGTCAGTTCACTTATAAAGTTCCACTATATGCAGTTCACTTATAAAGTTCCACTATATACTTAGATTGATGTCTTACATTGATGACCCTTGTTGATGTCTTACATTGATGACCCTTGTTGATGTCTTACATTGATGACCCTTGTTGATGTCTTACATTGAAGACTCATGTTAATGTCATACATTGACTGTTGTCATTGATGTGTCGTTGATGTCACACAGGAGAGGACGCGAGGGAGGAGGAGCTGCAGCTGGGGGGTGTGCTGTCAGATGACCCTGGGGGGGCCAAGTGCCCCGGCTCCACCCCGGTCACCTCGCCCCGGCCGTCAGACAACGAAGATGACCCCGGACCCCTGGTGAGTACCGGGCCCTGGGGGCCAGTGACTCCTTGTTCCAAAGGGGAAGTGACCTCTGGTGAGTATCATGCCCTGGGGCAGTGACCCCTTGTTCCAGGGGGCAGTAATCCTGGTGAGTAACATGCCCGGGGGCAGCAACCCCTTGTTCCATGGGGGGCAACGACCCCTCGTCCCCTTATTTCGACTTGACAATGGTTCAGCTTACACTTGTGTACCAGTAAATTGATGACCATCTGTACACTTGTGTACCAGTAAATTGATGACCATCTGTACACTTGTGTACCAGTAGAGATGAGGCTCACAGTAAACCCTGGATAAGTGTAACCACAGGCACCAAATCCATGGATCCTGGGGCTCTGCTGTCTTCTTGTTTTACTCAGACAGCAGGTTAAGTAGACGGTGTAGATGTACAGTGGACCCCCGCATAACGATTACCTCCGAATGCAACCAATTATGTAAGTGTATTTATGTAAGTGCGTTTGTACGTGTATGTTTGGGGGTCTGAAATGGACTAATCTACTTCACAATATTCCTTATGGGAACAAATTCGGTCAGTACTGGCACCTGAACATACTTCTGGAGTGAAAAAATATCGTTAACCGGGGGTCCACTGTATTTTGACATAGTGATGTCAGGTACTGCTCGCATCCTCAACCTGTTTTAATTCATTATTATTAATACAAAAGAAACGCCAAACCTATGAAGGTCATGAGGGTCATACGGCGTCTGTTTTAATTCACAGTACCGAGACTCCCTTATGTATGAATATTCATGTTGTGAACTTTCAGTAATATGAACAATTTGTATACATTATAAATATTGAAAGTTAAGACACATGTGCAACATCTGGATATCTTTATTGTAGACGTTTCGCCATCCAGTGGCTTTATCAATACAGATTCTAGGACATAATAGGAAGACAGTAGAACTATATACAAAAGATGAGGTAATCAGTCCCTCGGCCTTGGAGTTAGTGTTCACAGCATCGTGGTGGAGGAGAATCTGGAGCAAAGACAAGAAGACTGGCGGTTTATATAGGCGTCAGTGGATAGGGACGGGCAGCAGACGAGGGCAAAGTCACTGGTAGGCGGGATTTCCCAGTGGAAGTAGGACATCTACAAGACCTTCACGGCTGCTGCAACTAACCCATCTCTTTGGGAAGGACCTACTTCCACTGGGGAAACCCGCCTACCAGTGACTGCCCTCGTCTGCTGCCCGTCCCTTTCCACTGACGCCTATATAACCGCCAGTCTTCTTGCCTTTGCTCCAGATTCTCCTCCACCACGATGCTGTGAACACTAACTCCAAGGCCGAGGGACTGATTACCTCATCTTTTGTATATAGTTCTACTGTCTTCCTATTATGTCCTAGAATCTGTATTGATAAAGCCACTGGATGGCGAAACGTCTACAATAAAGATATCCAGATGTTGCACATGTGTCTTAACTTTCATATTGTCGGTATTTTATACCTTCTTGCACATTATAAATATTGTTTTGCATTTATTTTTTACTCTTCAATACTGGTATTTAGTTAGGTTATGGTAGTTATTTATTTACTCGTTTATGTATTTATATTGACTTAGATTCACTGTAAGTCAAGGTCCACCTGATAGATTTCTCTTAAGATGAACCTAGTATGGGCCAGTAGACCTTCTGCAGTGTTCATTCTTATGAAGATGGTCCCCTCAAGGGAGGTTCCTTGATGCTGGTGAGGGACTCTTGTTCTAGGAAATTGGATCTGTGCTCCAGTTCCCTGGATCAAGCCTGAATACCTTCCACTCCCCTCCCACATGTGCTGTATAATCCTATGGGTTTAGCGCTCCCCCGTGATTATAATAATTATAATATGAAGATGGTGATGGGAAAGTCAATATTTTGACACTGTGATATTGATAGGTCCTACACGAGTCCTGAACACGTTTTAGTCCAGACCGATTCATCTTACATTTGAACCTGGTATGGGCCAGTTGGCCTTCTGCAGTGTCCTTCCAAATGCATTTTAATCTAGACTAACTGATTTCTCTTTTTCCAGATAAACCAGCTATCTCCCTCTGGATTGCCAGACTTGATATCCATATCCAAGCCACCAGTTCTTGCTGACCCCAGGGCTTGCAAGCCAGACAGCACCCTAGACACTTTCAATGGGGGCTTCCTGAATGTGGGGACTGATGTGCAGGAGGTCAAAGAGGACGACAGGACTGTAGAAGCCTACGACGAGGACTTTCTTGACATCCACACCAATGAGGAGATGGAGCTCTTTTGATGCCGTCTGTCTTGTTGTAGCCACAACCTGTTGAAGATGCGTTTAGGACTATTAAGACGTGAGGTGAACCTATATTCTAGCCAGAACCTGTTGAAAATGTGTTTACCTGTGCCAAGACAGGAGGTAAACCTGTATTCTAGCCAAAACTTGTTGAAAACCTGTCTAGAACTGTCAAGACATAAAAAAGACCTGTACTCTAGCCAGAACTTGTTGAAAACGTGTCTAGACTTGTCAAAACACACGGTAAACCTGTATTGTAGCCAGAACCTGTTGAAAACCTCTCTAGAACTGTTAATACATGAGCTGAACCTATATTCTAGCCAGAACCTGTTGGGAACGTGTTTACCTGTGTCAAGACACAAGGGAAACCTGTATTCTAGCCAAAACTTGTTGAAGACCTGTCTAGAACTGTCAGGACATAAGGCAGACCTATACTCTAGCCAGAACCTGCTGAAGACATGTCTAGAACTGTCAAGACATGAGGCAGTGCATTCAAAATGCATAGAATACACAGTGTCAGCCTTTAGGCCTAAGTGTTGAACTCAAGAGAGCTGGTGTTCTTCTGAACAGTGTTATTTTACTGAACAATGGTATTGTTCCACTCTACGTACAGTGAACCCTCTTATAAGACTCCACATACAGTCAACTCTCTTATAATACTCCACCGAGCACTGTGATTTTTAGTTTAAGCGACTGAAGAAGTTCACCAACAATGTCACATGAAAGGCCTTCATAAATTCAATTGTAGAAAATATTTGGAGTGTAAGACAGTTGACTGTAGCATTAATGTCATCAGATTGATGATATTGTTGTCCAGTATCCACAGATTGATGAATAAAACACATGTACAACATCTGGATGTCTTTATTGATGAATAAAACACATGTACAACACCTGGATGTCTTTATTGATGAATAAAACACATGTACAACACCTGGATGTCTTTATTGATGAATTAGACACATTAACACCTGAGTGTCTTTATTGATGAATTAGACACAAGTACAATGCCTGGGAGTCTTTATTGATGAATTAGACACATGTACAACACCTGGGTGTGATTACTGATGAATAAGACACATGTACAACACCTGGGTGTGATTACTGATGAATAAGACACATGTACAACACCTGGGTGTCTTTAATGGTGAATAAGACTTATGCAGTGAGTCCCTGTTTAGTGACTGGAGACCCAGTAGTAACAGAAGACCAACCCAGGTCTTCTTTAGTGGGTGGAGACCCAGTAGTAACAGAAGAGCAACCCAGGTCTTCTTTAGTGGGTGGAGACCCAGTAGTAACAGAAGACCAACCCAGGTCTTCTTTAGTGGGTGGAGACCCAGTAGTAACAGAAGACCAACCCAGGTCTTCTTTAGTGGGTGGAGACCCAGTAGTAACAGAAGACCAACCCAGGTCTTCTTTAGTGGGTGGAGACCCAGTAGTAACAGAAGACCAACCCAGGTCTTCTTTAGTGGTGGAGACCCAGTAGTAACAGAAGACCAACCCAGGTCTTCTTTAGTGGCTGGAGACCCAGTAGTAACAGAAGACCAACCCCCGGGCTTTTTTAGTGGGTGGAGACCCAGTAGTAACAGAAGACCAACCCAGGTCTTCTTTAGTGGGTGGAGACCCAGTAGTAACAGAAGACCAACCCAGGTCTTCTTTAGTGCGGGAGACCCAGTAGTAACAGAAGACCAACCCAGGTCTTCTTTTGTGGGTGGAACCCAGTAGAACAAAGACCAACCCAGGTCTCCTTTAGTGGGTGGAGACCCAGTAGTAACAGAAGACCAACCCAGGTCTTTAGTGGGTGGAGACCCAGTAGTAACAGAAGACCAACCCAGATCTTCTTTCTCTTTACAATATATATATATAAGGTGAATAAGTTCTGTAATGTTTTATCCAGATTTTATTGAGTATAATTTTAAGCTTCTTGATTTCCTTAGTAAATTAAATAATTGATAAAAGCACCTTATAGGTGGGACATGAACAATTCATGTATATACAGGGGACCCCCAGTTTACGATCAGCTCCCAATGCGACCAATTATGTAAGTGTGTTTGTATGTGTATGTTTGGGGGTCTGAAATGGACTAATCTACTTCACAATATTCCTTATGGGAACAAATTCTGTCAGTACTGGCACCTGAACATACTTCTGGAGTGAAATAATATAAACCGGGGTCCACTGTACATGTACTTGCCTTTAACACTTATATATACAGTCACTATAGTTTCTTAATCAACAAATAATATATCACTGGGATCTCTCAGTATGAGCGAGAGATTGTTGAATTATGTTTGTGTTGGAAATACGTACTTGGTGGATTACCAAACCATACTGCGGGTGGGGTTAGAACCCACAATCAGTCATAAAGCTCCAGATTGTGGTATGGTTTGTTTGCAATCGTGTCATTACGATTTCGTGAGTCTTGGTGGATTACGCCTGTGTAGTTATCCACTCTGTGAAGCAATTTGGCAAAGAGACAAAGTTTGACTCGAATGCAAACAAACCATACCACGGGCGGGGATAGAACCTGCGATCAGAGAGTCTCTCATCTCAAAACTCCAGACCGCAGTCTGGAGTTTTGAGACTCTCTGATCGCGGGTTCTATCCCCGCCTGTGGTATGGTTTGTTTTTAGACTAAGTTTGTGTTGTATACCCACTCAAGCCTCGTGATGAAGTCTCTAACCTGTTCCAACTGTAGTAAATTTGTGTATATAAGTGATTAATGAGGGTGTAAAGGAACCTCATACTGTACATCATTCACTGTGTCGGAGATGTCAGTCATGTACGGCAGACCCTCGGGTAACGGCATTAATCCATTCTAGAGAGCTTGCCTTTAACTGATTTTGTCGTTAGCCAAATTAATTTTCCCCATAAGAAATAAGGTAAATCCAATTAATCCATTTCAGACAGCCAAAAGTATTAACAACAAAAAATATTTTTTTTAAAGGTTAAATATAGATATACATTTTTTTTTTTTTTTCAACAAGTCGGCCGTCTCCCACCGAGGCAGGGTGACCCACCGAGGCAGGGTGACCCACCGAGGCAGGGTGACCCACCGAGGCAGGGTGACCCACCTAGGCAGGGTGACCCACCGAGGCAGGGTGACCCACCGAGGCAGGGTGAACCCACCGAGGCAGGGGGACCCACCGAGGCAGGGTGACCCACCGAGGCAGGGTGACCCCACCGAGCAGGTGAGACCCACCGAGGCAGGTGACCCACCGAGGCAGGGTGACCCACCGAGGCAGGTGACCCACCGAGGCAGGGTGACCCACCGAGGCAGGGTGACCCACCGAGGCAGGGTGACCCACCGAGGCAGGGTGACCCACCGAGGCAGGGTGACCCACCGAGGCAGGGTGACCCACCGAGGCAGGGTGACCCACCGAGGCAGGGTGACCCACCGAGGCAGGGTGACCCACCGGGCAGGGTGACCCCACCGAGGCAGGGTGACCCACCGAGGCAGGGTGACCCACCGAGGCAGGGTGACCCACCGAGGCAGGGTGACCCACCGGGGCAGGGTGACCCACCGGGGCAGGGTGACCCACCGGGGCAGGGTGACCCACCGTGGCAGGGTGACCCACCGAGGCAGGGTGACCCACCGAGGCAGGGTGACCCACCGAGGCAGGGTGACCCACCGGGGCAGGGTGACCCACCGGGGCAGGGTGACCCACCGAGGCAGGGTGACCCACCGAGGCAGGGTGACCCACTAAGGCAGGGTGACCCACCAAGGCAGGGTGGTCCACCAAGGCAGGGTGGTCCACCAAGGCAGGGTGGTCCACCAAGGCAGGGTGGTCCACCAAGGCAGGGTGACCCACTAAGGCAGGGTGACCCACCAAGGCAGGGTGACCCACCAAGGCAGGGTGACCCACCAAGGCAGGGTGACCCACCAAGGCAGGGTGACCCACCAAGACAGGGTGGTCCACCAAGGCAGGGTGACCCACCAAGACAGGGTGGTCCACCAAGGCAGGGTGACCCACTAAGGCAGGGTGACCCACCAAGGCAGGGTGACCCACCAAGGCAGGATGATCCACCAAGGCAGGGTGACCCACTAAGGCAGGGTGACCCACCAAGGCAGGGTGACCCACCAAGGCAGGGTGACCCACTAAGGCAGTGTGACCCACTAAGGCAGGGTGACCCACCAAGGCAGGGTGGCCCACCAAGGCAGGGTGGCCCACCAAGGCAGGGTGGCCCGAAAGAGAAAAACTTTCACCATCATTCACTCCATCACTGTCTTGCCAGAAGGGTGCTTTACACTACAGTTTTTAAACTGCAACATTAACACCCCTCCTTCAGAGTGCAGGCACTGTACTTCCCATCTCCAGGACTCAAGTCCGGCCTGCCGGTTTCCCTGAACCCCTTCATAAATGTTACTTTGCTCACACTCCAACAGCACGTCAAGTATTAAAAACCATTTGTCTCCATTCACTCCTATCAAACACGCTCACGCATGCCTGCCGGAAGTCCAAGCCCCTCGCACACAAAACCTCCTTTACCCCCTCTCTCCAACCTTTCCTAGGCCGACCCCTACCCCGCCTTCCTTCCACTACAGACTGATACACTCTTGGAGTCATTCTGTTTCGCTCCATTCTCTCTACATGTCCGAACCACCTCAACAACCCTTCCTCAGCCCTCTGGACAACAGTTTTGGTAATCCCGCACCTCCTCCTAACACTTATATTTGCTTTATACTTACACTTTTATATTTACACTTTCATTTACTTTTATACTTACACTTTTATATTTACACTTACCTTGGAGGAGAGGTTAGTTTAATTAGTTAGTTTGATGGAGGAGATGCTGGCAGAGGTTTAGGGTGGTGGAAGATAGCAGGGCGGCACATGTTCAGCGGCCTTATACACATCCAACAACATTGGAGAGTTACTTTCGTGTCTTTTTCTATCGCTTACTCACTACACTGTTAATTCTACACTTGATCGCTGGCTGGCACTTTAGCCTTTATTGACACCTGCTTTATTATCATACATATTGTAGAATCAGTGAATCACTGCAGAAGGCACAGTCTCCTCTCTCTCTTCCTCCTCCACTTTGGTACTTTGCTATGAGTTTTTTCTTGAATTTTATTGTGTTTCTTTCCTTCGTTACCACGGGGCTGGCACTAGAAGCTTTCTTTGGGCCCCATAGTGGCTTATTTAGCAGTTACAAGCAGGGGTCGGCCTAGGAAAGGTTGGAGAGAGGGGGTAAAGGAGGTTTTGTGTGCGAGGGGCTTGGACTTCCAGCAGGCATGCATGAGCGTGTTTGATAGGAGTGAATGGAGACAAATGGTTTTTAATACTTGACGTGCTGTTGGAGTGTGAGCAAAGTAACATTTATGAAGGGGTTCAGGGAAACCGGCAGGCCGGACTTGAGTCCTGGAGATGGGAAGTACAGTGCCTGCACTCTGAAGGAGGGGTGTTAATGTTGCAGTTTAAAAACTGGAGTGTAAAGCACCCTTCTGGCAAGACAGTGATGGAGTGAATGATGGTGAAAGTTTTTCTTTTTCGGGCCACCCTGCCTTGGTGGGTCACCCTGCCTTAGTGGGTCACCCTGCCTTGGTGGGTCACCCTGCCTTGGTGGGTCACACTGCCTTGGTGGGTCACACTGCCTTGGTGGGTCACCCTGCCTTGGTGGGTCACCCTGCCTTGGTGGGTCACACTGCCTTGGTGGGTCACCCTGCCTTGGTGGGTCACCCTGCCTTGGTGGGTCACCCTGCCTTGGTGGGAATCGGCAAGTGTGATAATAAAAAAAAATAATAAAAGCACTAAAAACAATAGAATAATACAAAATATATCGCTTGTATGCATGGAATCGTCCTCCCTGGCTTGTAAACAATGGCACACTGGCTTTACGTGGGCTCAGGCTACATGGACACTTTCGGAACGAATGCCCTTAACCGAGTTCTTGGGCGTTTTTGATGCAAAAACGTGCTGCTACCTGAT